ATGCTAAAGTTCTGTTAACACCAGTGCCACCATTTGCTATTAACACACCAGCAATGTCATTTCCCCTTGTACATGCTGATATTAGTCATGCATAACACAATCAACTTCTGCATAATTCACTCCATGACATTCTTAGTTTAGTCTTTATATATTGTTTCCATTCCTTTTTTTATCTCCATCGAGTTCATACAACATTTTGTGCCAATAAACATAACTTCAAATACATAAGTCAAGCTACATATATTGCATGAACAACAATTCATTACACAAGCAAATCTCAACAGAACAACATTTTAAATTTCACTCTAGCCTACTTGCAAGATATATACATACTAGAAACACAACAATAATGGATCCAGCAAACATCCTAGAACACATACACACATGCATCATTTCCTTCTCAACACCCTAGCAAACACACATACACACATACACACCAGCAAACACCCTAGCACACATACACACATACACACATGCATCATTTCCTTCTCAACACATGCACACATATACACACATAACTTCAAATACATAAGTCATGCTACATACATATACACATATACACATATATACAAACACCCTAGCACATATACACATACACATAACTTTTTTTACTCCAGTAAGTGTTGAGAAGGAAATGATGTGTTGGGGTTGTTTGGGTTCTGAATGCCCTCCAACTACTACTGCACAATATGTTGTGTTGTACTTTGGTCTCTACGTTATTGCACTTGGAACCGGTGGTGTAAAAGTATATGTGTCACCTTTTGGGGCAGATCAGTTTGATGATACCGAACCCAAGGAAAAGGTTAAGAAGGGATCCTTTTTCAACTGGTATTACTTTTCTATCGACTTAGGTGCCGTTGTATCAAGCAACTTAATTGTATGGATTCAAGACAATGCAGGATGGGGTCTTGGATTTGGTTTAATTATGGGATTATCTATTGGAAGTTTCTGTTTAGGAACACCTCTATATATGCTAGGGTGTTTATGTATATGTGTATATGTGTATATGTATGTAGCATGACTTATGTATTTGAAGTTATGTGTGTATATGTGTGCATGTGTTGAGAAGGAAATGATGCATGTGTGTATGTGTGCTAGGGTGTTTGCTGGTGTGTATGTGTGTATGGGTGTTTGCTAGGGTGTTGAGAAGGAAATGATGCATGTGTGTATGTGTGCTAGGGTGTTTGCTGGATCCATTATTGTTGTGTTTCTAGTATGTATATATCTTGCAAGTAGGCTGAAGTAAAATTTAAAATGTGGTTATGTTGAGATTTGCTAGTGTAATGAATTGTTGTTCATGCAATGTATGTAGCATGACTTACGTATTTCAAGTTATGTTTATTGGCACAAAATGTTGTATAAACTCGATGGAGATAAAAAAGGAATGGAAACAATATATAAAGACAAAACTAAGAATGTCATGGTGTGAATTATGCAGAAGTTGATTGTGTTATGCATGACCTAATATCAGCATGTACAAGGGGAAATGACATTACTGGTGTGTTAATAGCAAATGGTGGCACTGGTGTTAACAGAACTTTAGCAGGGACTAAAAAGGACCCCGATAAAAATTTTAGGGACCATACTGGTCCCCTTTGTTAAAACTGTTAGGGACCATACTGACCAACGTGGATGAGTCTCTCAAAACGACGCCGTTCCTCAACCCACGTGGCCTCCAACATGTCACTTAACGTGACACGTCATCACCGTCATTGACACCGTGAGTTTTGGATTGACAGAAGGACTAACGTGGGTCCTGTTTCACTTTGTTGGGGACTATCTAACGAGTTTATTTTTGTGAGGGACTAATTTGGGCACCGAGTTTTTTGTCAGGGACCAATTCGGGTCTTTACTCTTTAAAAAAAAGGTAACTGTTGATAGGTGCAGTTATGTTAAGAGTAATGGGGAGTTTTCTTATAAATGGGTCTTTTCAGAAACTGACTATCCATCTGAGTCTGCTTATGAGCGTTGTATCCCATCCCTATCAGAAGAAGATACAAGAACATAAAAGGGTCAAGACTCTGAGAAAGTATTCTACCATTAAAGATCTTCCGCATTTATGGACAAAGGTATGTTTATGTGAAATTCATGAATTCTAAAGATCCTCTTTTATGTTCTTGATGTGATTGTTGTTGAACATGAATTATCGATTAAATTGCTTACATGTATATCCAAATAGCATAATATAGAACAAAATTATTCAAAAAATCTATTTAACCAATAAAATAGGATGAAATGGATTGAGGAGAAAAAGAGAGTTATTACAAGTAGTATAAAAAATATAAATATATATATATATATATATATATATATATATATATATATATATATATATATATTAGGCAAGCCTGAGAGGCTCTAAGGCCGAGCTTTTGAATCAAAGCTTGATGCCTTTTTATTAAATGAGCTTTTATACAAGTTTAAGATTGGTGTCAACAACCAATTTTAGACATCTAAATTCAGGCATTCCAAGCCGAGCTAAAGGCCCCTGAAAGGTTCTTGATTCGTTTAGCACCCCTGCTGTAGAGCTTTTGCGTCTGTGTAACTTGGAAATGGATCCTCTCATGTGGAGAAAAAAATATGATATGATCATGTGAGAAGATCACAACCATACAAAGGTAAATCAACGGTTATGATTTCGTAACTACCTATTTTAACATTTTTTTCTCTCCTCCTTTATTACCATTGATCCATCTTTATATGGTTATAATTTCCCACATGACATGATCACGTGAACTTTCACATCAGAAGATCCAGATCCGTGTAACTTTTTGTTTAATGATAAAGTACACATCTCAATGCAAAAGTAAAGGCTGAATGTTTCGATTCGACCACTTGTGTGGTTTAGGGTTTTATGTGATTTCATCACCGTCACTTTTTTTTTTTTTTTTCTTACGACATACCGTCACTTCTTTTAATATAAAATATTTTTTAATTACGTAAAAAAAGAAGAATAGGTTAAAAAATAATATTAAAATTAAACTCTTAATAATATTAGGGCTTCTCTTTTCTTATATCACATGAGCTAATATCTCTCATATCATAGATACAATAAGAGATGGAATCCATCACTTGTTAACAAAAATTAAAAGATAATAGCACAGATTTCGATACCTCACAACATGAGAAAGTAATCTCCAACAATATGAGAAAATGATTTCTCATAATATTAACCATAATACCAGTGTTATTAAACCCTACCTGTGCATAGATCCGGTCAAGAACTGTGTCACTGAGTCACTGGTCGGACTGATAGGTTACTGGTCGGATCAGTTGATCCAGATATATATAAATATATATAAATATGAACATATAAATTTAATTATATTCTCCATATTTAAAATGAATTAAACAAACTTCATTGAATAAGTTCAAAAATTATTCAATCACACTTTTACAAGTTCATAAGCACACAAAAAAATGAAAATGCATGTTATTACTATGTCAATTTAAATTGCAACTTATAATATCTATAAGCATATCTTTCAATGACATTCAAAAGACCAAATGTTGTGAACTCATATTTTTCAAATTCCTCTACATTGAAATGACATATGTCACATTCTCTTAATTTATTGTTCTACAAATTGCTCCAGTATTATAAGCTGAAATTTGAGGTCATTTTAGAAAAGTATACTATTAGTAAATAAAATTACAAAAAAAATTTAAAATGAGTTCTACATTTTTTTTACAAGATGAAATAATTTTGATTTTTTATTTTGTTTTATAAAAATGCATGACCCGATCGAGTCATCAATTTTGACTGGGTTTGACCTGGTTCAATACATGGCCGATCCGATACTTGACTCAAATCGATCCGATGATCGGTTCACCTAATTTTGGGTTAAGCCGGGTTTCATAACACTGCATAATATTTTTTTAAATATTTTTCTTTTTCCTTAAGTAATTGAAAAATTATTAAACTATTGTTTTAGTAGAATTTAACGTTTCACTATTCTTTATGGCAGACGTTTTTTTTTTGTTTTTCCATAGAATCCCTTTATTACGTTATACGTAGGTAAGTGATTATCTATAATATCGTGTCCTAAAGATGATAGCTTTTCTTAACGGTATAAAATTTCTTATTCAGAACTACATATTTAAATAATTTGACTCAATCACTGGGAGGTAGACGAGTAAGTTGCAAAACAAAACCCAAACTCATTAGGGATTAAGCTCGAATAGCACTTGTAGAAAAAAAAAGGTAAAAATCTAATGAGTCAGCAGCAGCAAGATAACGAAGGCAATATACTAAGGATCAAATCTTAACCATACCATTTTTTTATTCAAGAAATTATTTCCTTTTTAATAAAAAAATAAAGTAAAATAATTAAGATTTACACATTGTTCCAATCACCACCAGCTCAGCGGGAAAGCGCGCACTTGCTTTCAATCAATTAATTCCTTTTAACGATAATTAATTTCACGCTTAGAAGATATTAAAATTGATCTTAAAGAACAAACAAAAATCAATCTCCTCTCTTCATGGATATATGTTACGATTATAGTATTGATTATGATTACGCATGATTAGTATTCTTGAAATTAAAACAAATCATGTACAGATATCTCATCTGCTGTAAAACGCGAGAAAGAAAAAAGTTAGCATGATAAACGAGTTATGATCCGAGACATATTCGGTTAAAAGTTTGGGTCATAAAGGACGTGGGTTCAAAGTTCGAACCCCTACTATTGATGTAAAGATTTTATTGGTAAATAATATATAATTCCTGATGAAATCTTCAAAAAAAAAAATTGCTGGTCTTTCATGATGCTATTGAGATATCAATGTCTAATCTCACTTAAAACATTTAGATTTCAAGAAAAAAGAAGAAGCGAATTATGCTTTTTTTTCGAGTAAAATGCTGTTAGTTAAATACGTATAGTCCCAATAAATTAAAAGAAAACGAAAAGAAGGAGAAGAAGAAGAAAAGGCTGATTGTAACTCTGGCAATCTAATCTCTTCCATTGTTAAAAAATTAAAATATTTTCTTTTTCCTTCAATATATACACTCCTGCTCCGGTATGGAACTCAACACCGGCGTAAACTTTCGCCGACCACGGCGACCGCCACCACGGCGACCGCCACCACTACTTCTACTCTTTCCCTTCCTAGACGAATCAACAGGAGCGCCGGCACCACCATATTCCAGCGCCACTTTCTGGCAAGGTTTAGCATTTCCTTCGCCGGAGAAAAACATAATTTGTTTCCGGCGAGAGCCACATTTGTCACCACCAACACCACCAATCTTGGCGAGAGCCAAACGAGCCTTCACCGCCAACGCAACCATCTCCTCCACCGACAAGGGCCGCTTCAACCGGGTCAACGGGAGAGCGAAATACAGCTGACCGGGTGTCAAAACCTCGTCCTCGTGAACCGCCTTAACGACGTCGTCGAATCCCATCTGGTCAGAGTCACATATGAAGCACATTGGGTACATCTGCAACAGGTACGAAACCTTAACCCGGTACGAGAATTCCAGCAACCTTCCGTCGTGCACGACAACCTTCGCCGTCGGAACGTGCGTGGAATCGAACGAGGTGCCACAGCAATTGCCCATGTCTGGTCCTAACGATCCAAAAATTCTCGATGTGTGTAGCTATATGTAGTTGCTCTTAGTTGGACGAAAGAGCAACACGGTTTGGAGAATATATAGGCAAAGGTTTGGAGAAACACGGTGTGGAAGAATTTTTTTCCGTTTTGGGGAAAGGTGCACCAAAAAAATTGTGGGCCGGGTCAATAATAAA